ATTGCATTGCACCGTCACTGTCTTTTACTGTTTGCATTGATCAACCAAATCTAACACCCGCTGAGAGAGAAATAGTGTAGATGATAATCAAATAACATGGGAGACATGAGCATGGAACAAGAAGCTGCAAGACAGCACCAGCACATGGTCTAATAGTCACCTGTCAAAGTCTTAATCACTAATGCTGTCATCCTGCAGATTCTTCCTGGAGAGGGCTGTACTTACGGCTCTGTGATTTAAGGTAAATGCATTAACATAGAATGGAGGACGGGCCCATGTTTGACCTTCCAAGGGACAAAAGTCAGAGCCCTTTACTTCACTAATGGCTTGAATGGTTGTATTGCAGTGTAAACAACAAGGTCACTTTTACTCTTCCTTAGCAAATAAATAAACGAGGACATTGAAATCTCTAGGATGGTAATAAGTGCCATTAGGATGTTTTGTGTCTCGTATTTTTCAGATCTAAGAGTTTTTGCAACTGGTTGTTCCAATTACAGGCCAATGCAGCTCCTTTCCGCACAATAAACACCAAGTGACATGTTAAAACTGTAATTAAAATATACAAATATTCAATAGTAAAGGACAAGTAAACATGAAAATATTCAGAAAATGTGTTAAGGTTCATACTTTTCCCAACATTTTTCTTACGTTGCACACTTACAAAATCATTAGCATGGTGTGCTCTTTCATTGAATGTTCTTTGGATAAAAGTATGTAAGAAAATGTATGTTGTTTTTGTAATCAAATATAAAAAAATGAGAAGACTTAATAGTTTCTGAAGAATTTGGGTTTTTGGGTAAAAAATCATAGGTTTCAGCTCCGCACACTTGAAGCAAGAGTCTTTAACGCGCATCAATTAAATATATTACGTTATATTTAAGCATTTGTGTAATAGTAACTATCTGTACATTTTCCTACATTAATAATAATCATTGGATGTGTTTCATTGCTGAAACTACAACTCCCATGATACCTCCATGGTACCAAAGTTGAAACATCTTTTTGTTCTGTTTTTTTGACCCCATATTGACTTCACTTCTATTACATGTATGTATAAGCAAATTGAACATTTTAATAAAGCCAATTAGTCTTACCAGGGATGATTTAATTTGAATCAATCTGCTGAATAAGCTTCAAATTGTTCCAGCGCCAAAAGCAGGGTTTAAAGTGTCCAGTTATTAAGCTAAAAGGAACACAGTTCCTGCAGACATGAACCATTCAATTTAATTACAACAATTATCCAAAGATAATAAAACATTTTTAGATGAGGTTTATTGACTAGATAAAATAATAATTTATTTGATGATGAATAGAAATATTTGTTCTGTATTGATCCTGTTACAGACTTCAGTGGTTGGATGAAGGCATTTATTGTCAAACAGCAGTGTTTACTCTTTTTAAATCAAAATGACACCAGAAACTTTCCAAAAGACCCTGATCAAATGTTTACACACCCCAGCTATTTATTGTGTAATATTGTGTATCCCCCTTTTTACATCAATCACACAAGTCTCTTGAGGTAGTTGTCTATGAGGTTCTTTATCTTCTCTGTTGGGAAAGCAGCTTATTCTTCTCGTCAAAAGCCTCCAACTCTTTGTAAATTCTTGCATGAACCACACATTTGAGTTCAATAATATTAAAGTCAGGAGGCTGAGATGGCCACTCCAGAACCTTCTCTTTGTTTTGGTGTAACCAATGACCGGGACCATACACAGATACACTGAACAGAACTGACTTACCGATGCCTATGATCAAATTCAGAGGTCCCTTTAAAATACTTCTAAAATTACTAAATAAATTAAATATAACAGGCTCCATGTGAGAGGAGCGTGTGTGAGCCAGACTCGAGGCGGAGCTCGGAAACCATGATGGTTCCACCCTTGACAGGAAGTTGCTTGTGCGCATGTGGCAGCCTCCTCACCAGCTCGGAATTGCCTTCATATTAGCTTAAGTAGAAGTAGGCGGCGTTACGCCATCCTTTTTTTTTTTTTACAGTCTATTGTTTAAACAGAATCCCTCACTTTCCACATTCCACACCTCAGAGTTGGAACACTGCTGATTGGTATTCCCAGTTCCTTAGATATCTTTTTGTATCCCTTTCCTATTTTGTATAGTTCAGCTACCTTTTCCTGTAAATATTTTGACAGCTCTTTTGCTTTCCCCATCGCTTAGAATTGAGAAATGTCACTGGATGAAAGAGGCAAGGGTCTATCAGGAGCCAGAAACTCAGAAACCTGTTATGCATAAATATTGACCACAAGCAAACGAGGATGGTTACCAGCCACTAAAACCCTTTTATGTACATTTTCAGGCCAAAATCTTTTTTTGATCAGGGTCTTTGGGAAAGTTTCTGTTGTCGGTATGATTTAAAAAGAGTAAACACAACTGTTTGACATTTAATGGCTTCACTATTAAGGAAAAATGCTTTTGTGTTATTCAAATTTTCTGAAAAATGGCCGAAAAATCTGTATGTCTTCTGAACTACATAGGAGAATAAAAAAAACACACTGATACATTAAAGTAATGTGTTTGATTTAAACCTCAATGTTAACCATTGTTGGGCCATTGTTTTGTGCCAGTTATTTAACAGTATAAACAGCAAAGATGGCCATGAAGCTGCAAAGAAAAATCTCAGATGTATATCATGCTGAGATTGTGTCTTCACTAAGACACGCACACTGTCTGCACTCTCAGCTATTACAGTAATACCCTAGGGGCCGTCGGCTGTGATCCACTATAAACATGTGACTTCACAGCTCAAAAGTCACGGCAGGTACACAAAGACTAACAGCAGCGCAGCTCAACCCTTTGTCTAGAGAAAGGATTTAATTATAGATATGGATCTAACCAGGCACCTATGTAATAAAGAAATTAACTTAGGGAGCCTTGTCCGCGTGTCTCCAAGCACATCCTCAGGAGATTTGTGAACATGACCTGCTTTACCTCCCTAATGCACCTTCCTCATTTTTCTCTGCATAATTTATAAGGAAATGTTGTTTCAGGAAAATACGGACAGGTTTTGTTTTGAAATCTTTGAATGAAATCCTTATGATCAGGCTACACAGGGCTTGCTGTTTTCTTTGTGCAGGTGGGACGTAGGTGGAATAAACCATTTCTGTTGTTTTTTTTTTTTTTTCTTCATGTGGCTTCAGGCCACAGCGACCTATTTACTGGATTAGCTGCTCTTTCCTTGTGTCAAGCTAGATTTACTTTTGCCTTCAGAACTGCTTTAACGAGGGGTGGTTGATTTACAGGTCTCCGGCTGAACCAGTCTGGATATTGTCCGCTGGCCTCACAAGGCATTTTCACATTTTTTTTTTTTTGTTGTTTGTTTGAAAGTCTTGTAGATCATCAGATTTTGGTCGCGTTGTTCAGACTCAATGGTGACACCATTCAATCATTTCGGCCACTCGAATCTCATTTCTTCCACAACTCAGCAGTCAGTTTTGATGTCAGATGCTTTTCTGATTGCTTCAATCCAAACAACTGGGCGCTTCTGAGGTACATTGAATCCAGGTTTTACAGCACGGGTTAATCAGTAATCAGTGCTGGAGATGAGTGGTACTGTTGAAGTGCTTCCAGTTCAACTTCGATGGGTTTTTTTTCCAACAAATAAGTTTTTTTGAGTCATTTTCTCAACAGTACCATCATTATGTTGTATAGCAAAATGCATCTCCTCCTAGACCACTTGAGCTACAGCCACCAAACTGATCCAGGTCGCTTTATCTTTTTAGTACCACTAAATGAATTCTGGGAAATCGCTAAGAAATTTACCTTTGACTTAACATGGTGCCCAATTTTGTAAAACTGCAATTCAAACTATGAACCTCATAGAAAGCTATTGGTCAGTGCAAGAACCAATCACTGTGCAAAAGTTCTAGCATGGGTTAAATGTTTACCTAATCTTTTAATCTTTTTTTAAGTTGTTTTAAAGAAATATTATTGTTACTTAATGCCTTTATTGAACATAGACAATATTTTTGGCCATTTCTACCACTTACCTTCTGTTTAAACCATGTATTATTTATGGCTTCTACTCAATTGCCAAAGTTGAATTTATATCAGTCATATTGTCACCAACATGTGATCGACCTAATCAGTTCCATCTCCTTGAGAATGCATCAGGTGATCAGATCACTTACGCTCTGTAAATGTAAAGTTTGAAATAGCTGAAATGCTGTTTTTGAAGAGCTGTATAAATTATTACAGACTAATTTAAGTACACGGATTGACCTGAGTGTGTGCTTTTATAAATTTCTTCTTTGGCTGAAATGAGCCAGTTGTGAATCCAGCCGTTGACTCCACTTCCTGCCGCTCTGGTCGAGTGCAAACAGAGATATTTTCAGGCACAGAAGGGTTGTGGGTGGCCGTCTTCATTACTTCCACTTTGTCTCCCTCCATCATGAGGCAGATCATGAGGGCAATCGCAGTCTGCTGTCAAGATGCTCCACACTAATTGATTTCTCCGCTTTTGACAATGCCTGGCAGCCCGATAATAGATGACAGGGAAAATGATGCCAGCTGGCCTTGCTGACACTTGGATAAACATTGTTTATAGATAACACGCTAAGGGTTATCACAGGGTGTCATGGCAGTGTGGCAATGTACCAGAGAGTGAAACTATTCTCCTGTGGGCCTCCTTCTGTGCTTAGCAGTGCTCCTTTGCTTTAATGACTATGAAACTGATAGCTCTGACCATCAGAGGCTCCCAGGGGTATCTTTCTCTTATTTCTCAACCTTTACTGTTGATAGAAGAATCTTGAAATTCTGCAGAGAGCAATTAAATATTTCCATACACAATTCTGCTAAAAAAAATAACGGCTCAAATGTATTCGCAGACATTTTCCTCCTGTGTTTTAATAAAATGTATTGAGGTTTAGTGTAGAAATCTACAGTGTTTTATTATTAGCATACAGTGAAACTACATGTTTAATTAAAGGCCAAATAAATATCTGGAAAACACATCTACATCTTACATCAAGGCATTTTGGCAGATGCTTTTATCCAAAGCGACTTACATTTGAACTCACAACCCTCACGATTTTAGCGCAACACTCTACCAACTGAGCCACAGGAAATCTCTTCATCTTCAAATCAAAAATTGTGTTCTGACAAACTACGCTTTACCCACAGGAATTAGTGATGTGTGTCGCTCATGAACGATTCTTTCTAAAAGAACGAATCTTTACAGTGACTCATGAGGAACTACTCTTCCTAGTGAACGGATCATTTTGGGCATCTCGTTCATCAGGGGATTGCTCCCCCACCGGAGCCAGGTTTGGAAAAGAGCAGAACGAGATGCTCTTCAACTCGTTCATATCCTTTACAAAGCTTTTCAATGGACACAGAACTCGGGAAAGAGAAGTTCATTTGAATCACTCTTTCACAAGGGACGGTAATTCTGCGGTGGTGACATATTTTATTACTAAATTAATACTAAAGTTTTTCACTGCACATGGAGGACACATTCTGATTTTACTAAAACAAAAGACACAATTTTGTACATTTTGGAAAAATCAAGCAAAGTGTTTAGTTTGCGTTGACAATCAAAACTCGGTGGTACGCTAGTTTAATCCACTTTATTATTGTTTTTCACTCAGTTTTGGGGTCTTTGTCATAATTGTTTGCAAGTAATCGTATTAGGGATTTAAGGAAATAATTATGGACGAACGAATCATTCAGTCATTCTGTTTAGTGAACTCTGTTTAGAGTCAACAAATGAAGGAATCTTCCCATCACTAACAGGAATAAACCTAAAGTTAGCATAAAAAAAGTTGTCAATGTTTGTCAATGCGTTGTTTGCTTTATTTCTCTTATTAATAAGTTAATAATGTTATTTCTAATAGTGTTGGGTACTGTTCTCTGATGTATCTTCTGAACTGTGTTTCTCTCTCTCTCTCTTTCTCAACTGTGCTCGTATGCGCTCACTAATCACTGTATCCAGCATGAAGCATGTGATTAATCCATGTTCTGGTGTAATAAACCATGTTTTTATGTAAAAATACAGTTTGTTGCTCCTTTAACCACCATAGTAGTTTTAATGTTTCATGATGTTTTTTAATATGTAAAAACTCCCACATGATTTTGGATGTGCATGGTCTACATCACATGTGCTGCAGGCAAACCCTGCTGCCATTTAGCAAATGACCAGTCTTTTGGGGGGTCATGGAAACTGTTGTATTTATTTATTTATTTGTATTTTTTTTTTAAGAAATTCAGCCAGAACATCACCTGAATATAAGATGAGTGAGTTAATTGAATCAATAGAGCTTTTTATGCAGAACACCACTCAGCAGGGTGACCTATACACCTGGCCTTGAATATTCATGGCTGGCTTGTGCAACTTATTGCAGAATATTTCATATTTCTTCATTCTCTTTGTCTGTTTGCTTTTACACTTGCTCTCAGTGGGACCGGCACAACAATTGTAGCAGAACCCAAACAAATCATTTTAAAAGCTCTAGGCGCAGACCTTATATTCAGAGCATTCGTGAGCATCAGGATGGCAAATTCAATCTCTAGATTGCAGGTTTGGTAATGCTATAGGGAGCCTTAGGATATTATAGTCTGCAAAAAATGATGCCATATCCTTTAGATCCCAAGCGTCTTAAGAGGAACTCAAGATAGCCCAGAATGCTTAAGTGAGTGAGAATAATATTACATCTGATATTTTCACGCACTATATCCATTATTTCTCACAGCTGTAAATTACACGCTGTGCAACATCACATTATGTTACGTTGCTGGATATTTATTTTGTCTTTTTTTTTTTCATGCTGCGTTCAAGCAACACACACTGCAATAAAGCCTCTGGTCTGAGTGGTGTAAAGCTTTAATTATGGAATTATGGAGTTGGGTTGTTTTTCAGGAACTGGGTTTGGCCTCTTGGCTCCATAAAGTCATGGATGAGAGAGTTTGGTGTGGAAGAACTTAATCTGGGATGAAAAAGAGAGAAGACAGTAGCTGTGTTTCCATCGACCTATTTTCATGTTATTATTGCTTGAAGAACCCTGTGTGGAAACAGCAAGATGCGCATAAGTTGGGAAAATGGTGAGTATACTAAACTTTTTATCCGATTGCAAAAAAATGTGCATGATGGAAACACATTTACTGGGAAAAATTTGCATGTCATGTGATTTTACTTCTGGGGTGCGACTATCCAATAGTGCAGAACATCTGAAATGTTGTTTTGGTCCTTCTAAAATTTCTTAGCCAAAGTTGATCAAAGTGCTGCAGGAATACCACCTCCCAGAACTGTCCTAAGCAGTCTCCTCCTCCAAAAGCAAGATGACATGACTGTGCACATTTAGTTTCATCTACGTGTTCTAAAATGCAAATTATACATGTAGGCTTCTCCGAACACAATAACTTTTATTTTTCTTTTGATATTTGGCACCATTTTATCAGGAAGTCACGATTTCGTTCTTTTGGACTTGTTGGATGGAAACTGATTTATTTGCAAATATTTAATGCGATGTTCCAGTTTGTGCTTAGATTTTATTTGCATATTTGGATGGAAACATGGCTAATGAACCAAGAGCTGGAACTTTTATAGCTGAAATGGTTCGACACCATATTAAACTCTATTCATTAAGAATAACGTTCATATGCCTCTAAATAAGGATAAGTGGTTTTAAGATTTTTTTTTTGTTGTTGTTTTCAAAGTTTGAACAAACATACTCTTTGCCTTTTCATTCTGAAACACTTCTCAATGGCACTGGGCTGATGATTCAACACAGGCTTTACGATAATATATTCTTTCCCCTGAATTCACTGGTAGATATTTTAAACCCATGTGGGTTGCATCCAGGATGATGTGTCAGCTCGACTCCCACTTTCCAAAAGCATATAATAATTTTCCGTGATCATATTCCAGGATCTGTGCCAGGCTCCCTGTGTGTTAATAAGTGTGCTTTTTCATACGCACATTTGGGAGAAGCATTTGAAGACTGAACCCATATATCTGGATGCTGTTTTCTGTGATATATCTGGGTAAGAGCTGTTAGGGAGCAATTATTTCCTCTACATAGATTTGATTCACCATTAATCAAACTAAAAGTGCTGATGAAAACATTTAGTTTTACATTTCACCACAGAAATGTTAGCCCTGCTAAGGAGTGAGATAAAGTAGGAAGATTTATAAATAAAAACTGATGATGGTGACAGTGGTCAGCACCCATGGTCGCCTTACAGATTTAAGCATTAAGATAGAGAACACTATAAAGAAATCAGATGACCACACTCACAATTTATTTACAAATAAGTTATTATAACTTACATGTAATTTATTTATTTCATGAAAAAGCAGCATAAACACTGTGTAAGTCGTAAGTCATGCTTTTATCTCAAGTCATCACTATATTAACCCTTAGAAGTCTCTGCACTCACCGGTGTGTGTTCCAATTACACCGGCTGTTTAGAATTAAGGAGAAATGATGTGAACCACCTATTGTTTAATTTGGATTTTTGGATATAATGTGTAGGTTTCAAAAAATGAATTAGTTTCTTGGTTTTAAACTAGCATTACAAGTCATGATGCATAATTGGCAAGGTAATTTAAAAAAATGCGTAGTGGTCTTTCCATTTTACAGACCAGAAATCGGTGCTGTAAGTGGCATCTAGTGGTAAAAAGAAGTACAAGACCTGTGAGATGTCTTGTGTTTTTTAACTGTGTAAAAGTTTTTGGAGAGGTCTTTGATACAATTTTCACATTGTTTCATAATTTGTTATGAATCGTTATTTTTTTCTCAACACTTGTTTCTTGTCCGTTTTTGAAATTTTCGTAGTAAAATTTACTACTCTGAATATTTTTTTTTTTTTTTGTGATGAAAATTTTTTTGTAAAAAATGAAGTTGGGTTTGTAATAAAAAGGCAAAGGGTTTTAAAGATAATTTATTAAATATATTTATTGTAAAGTAGTAAAAAGGCCATAGACTACAAATAGCTATCATTTTTATTTTCCAAATTGGTCCTGATTTGAGTCATAGGGTTCTGCTGGTAACCATCTCAAGGTCATCCTAGGAGAAGCATATTTTGGTCAATGGGAAGAAACTGGGGGGCCCACTGGAAATCCACAGGGAAAACATGCAAAGACCACTCTTTAAATCCTTCTTCTTCTGAAGAGGAAACATGGCTACTCATTGCATTGCATTTATATAAATACTTTTGTCTCATATAAAAGTATCTGTACTTCATTCGGACCCATAAATTTGCCAAGGTGAAATGTTTTTATAAAATAATATAAAGCAGATTTGACATTCGAACATATTCTAAATAAATTGTTTAAAAATCAAGCTACTAAATGTACTGAGCTAGATCAGCTTGGTTTTTTTATTATTATATACCAAATAAATAAAACACATTTACTATGTAGAATGAATAAATATGATGAGAATTTTTTTGAGTGAATGCTTCTTTTAACAATAATTTGTAAAAAAAAAAAAAAAGTAAAAATCCTGAAGATAAACAAGTCGCTCAACAACTCCACCAGTCAATCTCTCTTGCCCTTTATCTCAAAGCCCCAGCTTTCACTGCTGGGTTTCGATTAATGGCTTCCATGTTTCTTTGTTTTTCATCGTGTTCATCTCTAAGTCCCACTGAGCCAGCAAGACCCCAAATCCTCTTTCCCACCAAGTGTGACAAGCCGTTAGTTTTAGCTTTAGGTCTAGGCCTGTTGAGCTGGAGCGGCTCTTTGTTTGGTATTAGCTGCACTCTTTAAAGGGATAATGATGCAGAAACATGAACACTACTGAGTGGATCTTCTCAGCATGGACCGCAGGTGCTGTATTGTATGGAAGTTGGTGCCCACCCACTCACACACTGAACTGATTCTAAATCAGCAACACACAAAAAACTTTACAATGATATAGACATCCGGTGCTTGCTCAGATTTGTGATTTACTTTTTGAGATTTTTTTTCATAGTATATACATAAATGCATGAAAATTTTAACATTTTGCCTATAATCCATTATTTGGGTCTCCTTAAAACACCCAGAAATGTACATTTTATGAAATGTTATGTCACCAAATGAAACGCTTATATATCCAGTCACCACAATCAACAAAGTACAATGCAC